TGGGGGGGGGGAGGGGAGTGATGAAAACTTTGTACTTAAAATGCACTACATTACATTTTAATGCAAAAAAAGATAAATACAAATCAAATGCTATTTCAAAACAATAAACAATAAATCTTTCATTAAAAATAAGTAAGAAAAGGACATTCAGAAGTTTATCTCCATTTTTTCTCTTAACCAAATTATCATCAGTATTAATAATAATTTGGGAGACGTTTCAGCTTCTGAGGAACTACATTCTATGAGAAAAAAATGGTTGTGTTGATTTTTTTTCAACCTACTGCAAAGCCTTTGGGAGTGTAAATACTTGAGACTAGATATGGATAGGGATGTAACTGGGCACCTGGGTGCCCAGTTCCACAGTGGCTCATGGGTGTAGTGTCACCAGTGCAGCTATGTGGCTGTGGAGACAAATATTATTTGTATACCCTTGCACTAAGTTGGCATCTGGGGATGCTACCACAAGCATCCTACCTTAGTTATGCTAGTGGCTTTAGAGTAGGAGTCACAGGTAGTGTTGTTGCTCTTAGAGTACCCATTCTTTTATAATTCAGTGTCTGTCCTGGTCTGTAAGAACACAAAGTTTGTCAAATTTTAGGACAGGCTTCAGGAGCCTTCTCATTTCCTGATGTCTATAGAGAACACATGCATTACTGTAAGAACATGAGTCAGGGCATGGCAGCATCTTTAGGTGTCTAGAGAACATGACAATTTGGCTTGTGTACCTTTTACACTTTTATTTGTTCAAGATAGGTCTTGAGAACAATGTACTTAAGTAATTGATTTAAAACTAAGACAAAATATCTCATTTGATATTTTCAGAAACAGACATTTCTGACAGGTGAGCATATCTTGTAGTTTTCAAAGATCTATTAACTCTATCTTATTCAATTTTCAAACCAGAAACACCATTTATTTTTATTTTTTTACCTTTTTATTAAAGATACATAAAAAGAAGAAAAAAAAGTTCATACAGAGGTAGAAACTGTGGGTGCTTATAGACGTGCTCTGGCAGGTGGGGAGGAGGCACTTTAATTAACGTGGCTCTGAGAGCTGCGTTAATTAAAAGCACCGGAAGTGTCATGTGTACCAGTGTCTCCACACTGAAAAATGGCGGCAGTGTGCTTTGAACTAAAACTCATTGAACCAGGTTTAGTGTGAAGAGCTCTACCACCATTTTTCAGTGTGGGGACGCTAATACACATGACGCTGGAGTCTGCTGGAGCACTGTAATTACAGTGCATCAGAGCAGCCTCCCTGAATGTGTATAGGAGGAGCCTTAGAGACTAACTGGTTTAGAGGAGCATAAGTTTTCTTAGGTAACAACCTACTTTGTTAAATGCTTTAAATGGACATGTAGAAAGACGGGGGTCTAAAAGAAAGGAATTTTATTGAAGGACATTGAGTGACATATGGGTTAATTGCCCTGTTTATCTGTACTGATCTGTTCAACCTATCTTCATCAATAGTGACCCCTCCCCCTACCCTTTGTTTTTAAATTACCTTCTATTTAGACCTTTATGCAAGCCCATTCATAAATTGTGATAAAGTAGACTGACAACTACAAAGGTTTATGCCTCTGAGCCAGTCAGTCCCTAAACATTCTGCCTTGTCTGCCTGACTTCAGTCTAATACAGCTATCTACCTCTCTATAAGCACAAGTAATTCTTTTGACTTCAGTCAGATTACTCTCAAACTCAAGTCTATGCACATGTTTAAATACCTTGCTGAATATGAGCCTTATGCCCCTTAAAACTCTGGTGAGAACAACTTAACCTTGTGTTTGTTATAGACTACAAAAATAAGAGGCCTTACCCTGAGTGTTGTGTTCAGTTTTGGGCCCCACATTTCAAGAAGGATGTGGACAATTTTGGAAAGAATGCAGCACAAAACAAAAAAAAGATTTGGGGCCTGGAAACAAAGACTTTTGAGGAAAGCTGAAAGAATTAGGGTTATTTAGTCTAGAGAAAAGAAGACTGAGGAGAGATTTGATGACTGTCTTCAAAGTGCAGTTAAAGATTGGATAAAGATGGCTTTTTCTCTGTGACCATAAAGGAGAGGAATAGGAGCAATGGCCTAAAGCTTCAGCAGGGGAAATTTAGGTTGGGGATTAGAAGGATTTTTCTGACTATGAAGGTGATCAAGCATTGCAATGGGCTACCCACAGAAGTCATGGAACTTCCATTCTTGAGTGGGTGGGACAGATGCCTGCATGAGATGGTTCAGTCAGAGATGAATCTACCTTGAGGAGGGGGCTGGACATTGTACAGTTCCTTCCAACCCTACTATCCTACAATGAAACTGTTAGAATAATGGAGCTGATATAGTCAAACTCCAAACACTATTGGTGGGATTTTATGGCCTGCAATATGCAGGATATCAGATTAGACAAACATAATGATTACATTTATTTTTAAAACCTATTGACTCCTGTAAACGATATACCCTTTTCTAAATAATAATATGTCATAAAATTAATAAATGTAATGCTATGTTTTAAGTATGGTAGATAAGAAAGTAGAATACTAAAAATATGCATTAGAGATCAGTTGTAAGTAGCTGAAATGCATCAGTGTAAAGTACTCTACAATGAGCTCCGTTCTTGCAGCTATACTGCTATTAGAACTCAAGCTAGCTAATTTAAAACTAGTTCTAGTATCTCTATACTACAAACTGTTGTCAATACTGTGATGGCAATACAGACCTACCCCAAAACAGGTTACACTATGCCTCTCAGATTTTCTTAATATTAAAAGGTAATAGATATTTGTATTATAATAGTATTTAGAGGCCTCAAACTCATGAGAGGCCCCCTTATGCTAGGCTCTAAAAACACAAAGACAATCCTGGCCTGAAGTAATTCCAGTTATATAAGCAAGACAAAAGTTAAGAGGAGGAGTAGGTAGACAAACGTTCCAGAAGAAAGTACAGCAAGCGGAAACAAGTAGAGGAAGAACACAGAGGTTTATGTCATGAACTCCATATTCTCAGAGGTCCATTCAAAGGCAAGACACTTCTATCTTCAGAAAACTAGAATATGATTGTGAATAGTTTTCATCAATTTTTGAACCACAAGACTTAAAAAAAAACCCTTAATTTTGACTAGCCAGAGAACTTCATAGACCTAAACATTTGTTTCACTTTCTATTCTTCTTATAAAGAAAATCTCAAAGAAAATGTAACACAAAGTTTACATAAGATTTGTTAGCTGTCCATGTAATTATTCCTCACCCAATTTTTCCAGGATTACTCTTTAGAAAAACCCTAATGGATGGGCCATGTATGACAGTCTCGGTATGGGCAATCTAGTTCCCAGATTCAACCTATTTAAGTGGCTGATTTGTGTTTCCACTTCTTTTTGGGTGAGATTCCATGATTCCACATCTGACTGGGGCCAAGCATGAGCATTCATTTCTAGCAGTGAAACATTTCTGTCATTAGTAATGATACCAGAAAAAGGAGCAATACAGGAATTCAGCCTGCAACTGCCCCCTTTCCTCTGTCCCTTGCACTTTCCCAAGATCAGAGTGATCCTGGTCTGGGAAAAGTGTGGACCACTCCAGTCCTCTTGTTCCCAAAGGCACTGGAGCAGCATGGCAAAGGGATTCTGGGGTGAGAAGCACACAGGGAGCTCACAGTACCACTGCTTCTGCAAATCTCCTGAGTGGAGGGAGCCACACCGTGAGCCCCTTACCTGTTTCTTACATTGGAGCCCCTGCTGCCTGGGAGATGAAAAGATGGGTCAGTGGAGCACAGTCTCCTGCTCACATTGTAAACCAGGGTCTCTGGCTTATGAGGAGATGGTAAGAAGCAGCTGATGGCTGCTCCTTTCCTCCCCTTCCCCCCATTTCAGGAGGGACAGGAGCAACTACCTTGTGTGCCTTCTCCAGATCAGAGTGACCCTAATTTATGAAAGGCACAAGAGACTTTCCCGGCATCTCCACTACCTGTCCCTGGGAGGAGTTAAGCCAGAGAGAAAGTATACAGAAGTTCATTTTCCTGGGAGAAACTCTCCCAGGACTGACTTCTAATTGGCTGTAGTTGGGTTGTTTTTCTTCTGGAACTGCTACTGTTGCTGCAGGAGAAACAGTGGGAATGTCTGTATATTCTTGGTTACTACTGGAGGAGCAGCGGTTCTTCCAGTAAAATAGAACATCAGGTAGTGGCCTGTGTTACACTCTCTGCATTGTCTAGTATACTGCTTAGAACAACATCTATGGGAGCTGATGAGCTTGAGTTGCATAACTTGATATGCAAGTCTTGACCCAGAGAGATGGAGTTAGGCCATTATCATTCTGAGGCCAGGCAGAAGGCAGGGCATAGTGGCACCTTAAAGACCAACTCATTTAGAAAGGTATAAACTTCCATGGGCAACAGCCTACTTCATCATAGCATCAGACAAAGTAGGCGATCACTGACAAAAACTTAAGCCTTTCTAAACAATTTAGTCTTCCCTGCCTTCTGCAAGTCTTGACCTGAAAACCTTGTCCTTTAGCAGACTGTTCTAAAGGACAGGGATATAATGACACAGAAGCTTATTCAAAACCAATTTGGATTTATTTTGCCAAAAGATACACAGAACTTAGAAAAAGAAATAAAGAGCCTTTTATGACTGAGGTAGACAGACCTATGCTTGACATTGTCTTCAAGCCCTCTGCTGTTGTGGATCATTTTAATACTGGCTGCAGACTCTTATGGCTGCAGACTGAGTCAGCTTCTGTCTCAGCCTGGCCCAGTTGACTTACTTCCTCCCTAACTGTAAGAGAAAACT